CAGACATGGACCAGCCACAGCTGAAGATGCTGAGCTCCCAGAACTCAGAAGTAGAGACTGTGGAGCTGGCATGGCCGTGGTCAGCCAGCCAAAGGTCGAGCTGCTGCTGGACACAGAGCGCCCCCACACCCACCCACCCCGGAAGCAGGCCTCCTAAGCCAGCAATGGTTTACAGGACTCTCTGCTTCTCCTCGTACAGCTGGGTCAGCTTCCAAATGCCACCTTCCGCTGGAACAATACATCACATTCCCCCTTCATCCTGTGGCAGGCCTTCCATGCCCCAGGGTGATCAGGGACCACCCAGCTTCGAAAGTGGGGCACCAGCAATTAGAAAGGCTTGTGCCTGGGATATTTAACTAAGGCTAGGGTTAAAACAAACAAACAAACAAACAAACAAAAAAGCACACAAAAAGGAGACTAATTTTCTCAGCCCCACAGGGAGGGTTTGAACCTGATGTTTCCTGCTTTGGTCCTTTCCGAAGCACCAACGTCATCCTGCACTTGGGCACTCCGAGCTGCTCCAGCTCTGTCTTGCCATCTGTCATGCTCATTGGTCGCTCGCAATGGTCAACCATGCATTCAGAGACTGTGCTTCACTTGGTCCTCAGGTCTGTCTGGTAGGAGGCTCCGACCGATGGTCTTTGCAACGTGGGTGCTGCTGGCCTGAGATGGGGAGGGGCGCCATCATGAACCCATAAAGGAACTGATGACCTTGGGAGAGAGACCAGGAGTTAAGTCTAGCCCAGGACAGCGTAATCCAGGCAGCAGGGACTAAGGTGCTTTCCGTATTTTCTTCCGTTTCATCCTGTTCCTTGGGTTGGCTTTCATTCTCTGAGTAGCTGCCTTCCTCACAGCAAGATGTGTGGTGTGGTACCAGCTCTTAGGTCTCAAACAAACCAGGAGACAAGTCTCGCTCTCAGTACCTGTGGCTCCTCTAAACCTCACCAGTCCAGGGGCGGGGCTCTGGATCCCTCCCCCAGCTTCTCTTTCCTACATAAGCGTAAACAACACAGCCAAACACAGCCATCTGGCTGAGACACTCTCTTGATGGCCTCTTGGTCCTCAGCTCCCCACCCTCTTTTCTCTCTGGCTGACACTCCCACCCTCCTCTCATAGCTGGGTTCAGTCTGGACCCTTCATTCACTCCCTCGTGTCTACAATGAAACCTTCTCTTCAACCATACCTAGGAGTGGTCATGTCCTCACTGCATTTACCCGTCTCCAACTGGAGGACATCTGTACCTCTCCTGTTTCTGTTTGGTTTTGGTTTGAGACAGGGGTATTTTATTGGTTGGTTGGTTGGTTGGTTTTGGAGGCAGGGTTTCTCTGTGTAGCAGCCCAGGCTGCCCTGGAACTCACTTTGTAGACTAGGCTACCCTTGGAACTCAGAGATCCGCCTCCCAAGTGCTGGGTTGAGACAGGATTTTATGTAGGCCAGGCTGGCTTTGAACTCCATGATGATTTTGGTCTTCCTGGTCATCTTGAATCTACCTCCTCTGAGACAAAGGAGAGTCCTGGAACTACAGTATATCTGTATGCGTGGTTTACAAAGCCCTAGGAACCAAAGGTAGAGTCCATCATGACCAGTAGGTTCAGGCAGCAGTTGGAGGCGGCTGATCACAGTGTCTCTGCAGTCAGGAAGCAGAGAATCCAATAAATGCTTCCTAGAAATTAAACCTCCCTAGAAATACTCTCACAGACACATCCAGAGATATGTTTCCATGGTGATTCTAAATCTATCAAGCTGACATGAATATTAACTATACTAACCAGAATGACTCTTAGTGACCAACAGAGTCTGCCACATGGGTAGTTATTGTTATAACCATGGACAGACAGGAAACTGAAAACTAAGACAGATAAATTAGTGATGTAAAGGCAGAGCAAGAGGCTATGTTAGGGTCTGAACCAAGAATCAGATCTTTCTTTTTCTTTTCTTTTCTTTTCTTTTTTCTTTTCTTTTCTTTTCTTTTCTTTTCTTTTCTTTTCTTTTCTTTTCTTCTCTTCTCTTCTCTTCTCTTTCTTTCTTTCCTTCCTTCCTTCCTTCCTTCTTTCTATCTTTCTTTCTTTCTTTCTTTCTTTCTTTCTTTCTTTCTTCCATCCTTTCTTTCTTTCTTTTTTTGGTGACAAGGTTTCTTTGTGTAGCTCTGGCTGTCCTGGAACTCACTCTGTAGATCAGGCTGAACTCGAACTCAGAGATCCTCCTGCCTCTGCCTCTCAAGTGCCAGGATGAGAAGGCATGCACCACCACAGAAACAGCTCATTCTACTGTCTTTTTTTTTTAATTGTTGAGTAAAATGTTCCAAAATTTTGCTGAGACAAAGGAGGATATAAATAATACATATATCATTTTACTAATAATAAAGGTATATTATAAAAGCTCACATTTATAAACAGTATGTGGTGGTATACATCTGTAAGCCCAGCAATTTGGGAGGTAGAAATAGGAGGATCAGAAGTTCAAAGTTATCCTTGGCCTTAGAGCAAGTCTGAGGCCAGTACGGAACACAGGACACTCTGAAAACTGAAAATGACCTTCTGGCTTGGTGTGGTAGGGCACACCTTTTCCCCCCTGTCACACAGGGTTTCTCTGCACAGCTCTGGCTGTCCTGGAACTTACTCTGTAGACCAGGCTGGCCTTGAACCAGGAGATCTGCCTACCTCTGCCTCCCAAGTGTTGGAGCTAAAGGCGTGGGCCAGCCACCATTGCCAGGTGGTGTGTGCCTTTAATCCCAGAACTCAGCAAAGGCAGGAGAATCTCTGTGAGTATGAAGCCAGCCTGGTCTACACAGCAAGCTCTAGGAGAGCCAGGACTACATAAACCCTGTCTCAGGAGAGAAGGTGGGGGGTTCAGGGGGACGGAGGGACACATGGGACGGGACGGGACGGGATGGGGCACACTACCTTTTGATTCATTTATTTGCATAGTGTGTTCTGAGGGCCTTTTAGGTGGACTTGGTGATGGACTGGCATGCCCTAGCCTTGAACTTCAATGAGTCCCCAGTGAGGGAATCTCTTTGTTTTGTATGTGGATTGTCAATGAAGCACAAAGCCAGGAAAGGCTGGAAATCAGTTTCCCAAAAAGGCTAAATAGCTGAGCCGCAAAGGATGTTTAGAAGTCTGCTCAAAGAAGTCAAAGAGGAAAACATCCTTCCAGGCAGAGGGAAGCCATGGAAAGGCAAGGGGCATGAAAGTTTACAATGTACTCAAGGAACAAAGAGGAATGTAATACGGTCAGAAGGGAGTGAGGTCCATCGGGAGGAGGAGGGGAGGAGGGAAGCGCAAAGGGCTGCGGACATTTCCCAGAAGCCCTGTGTTCCAGGCTAAGGACTTGGTCTCCACCCTGCAGAGCGCCTGGGAGACTGCTGAACAGTAAAGCCATCTTCAATGGACGGTCAGGGGACCTGTCATCATACACCCAAGTGAACGGGAGCCGTTAATGCGGAAAGGAAGATCTGTGGAGGCCAGATCCAAACGTGAAAAAACAGGGAGGTGCCTGCCCGGCATCAGCACTAGGTCCCACTGTACTCAGAGCCAGTGGGCCTGCGCACGGGCATGAGAAGATGGTGATGTACAAAGAAGATGATGATGACTGACAGCGAGTACTTCCATCAGCATCCACGCTAAAGCAGCGACTGGGTGCTGAGGATACTCCAGTCCTCTGCTAGATGGGAGCTCCGTTTGTTTTTTAGTTAGTTCCTACCCAAAAGGTGTAACAAAGCTTTGGGCTATTTACAGGAAATGGCCGCTATTCGGCATGTTTAACAACATACGAAAGCAGCTGAGAGCATCTGGTGGTCCAAGAAGTTTTATGCCAATCATATGTCTCATGGACCAGGACTCAAACCTAGGACCCTCTGCAGAGTTAACGCTGAATTCAAATCTTGCCCTCCCACCTACCTACCCATTGTGTGTTCTGAGATGAGTTCTTTAACCATGGAGTCTGTTTGCTCACCTGTAATATAGAGATAAAGACTGAACACGTGGCCAAGTGGTGGTGGCACACACCTTCAATCCCAGCACTCGGGAGGCAGAGGCAGGCAGATCTCTGTGAGTTCGAGGCCAGTCTGGTCTACAAAGTGAGTTCCAGGACCGTTAGGGCTACACAGAGAAACCCTGTCTCAGAAAAACCAAACCAAACCAAAAATAGAACCTTGATAGTTGCTGACCGGTAATCAATGGTTAAACTAGCTGAGCAGGCAAGGAGAAGCTGCCTCACGAGAACCAGGTTCATCTCTCCCCTTCTGACCCAGCTCTGTCTTCACATGGGGCCCTCTGACTATTTCTGTCTCTTTGTCCGTGGAGCCGGGCTGCATGGTGCATGCTTCTTGGAAACAGGACCCCCCCCCCCCTTCCTTCTGTTTTCAGTGGACCCTGACACCTTGGCCCCAGGTGTGTGCACGCACTGATCTGTAGCCTTCTGAACTGAGCTACAAGTTTCTGAATCGTGAGTGCCCCGAACTGTGTCTCTGGCCCACCTGCCTCCACGACCAGGACGATGTCTTGGGCTTGCGGGTGGCACTTCCCTCCAGACCCCGCACCTGAATTGACAACCCACAGTTCTGTCTGTGGCTCCTGAAGAGGCCGGCCAGCTGAAGTCTACGTTTGTCTCCGAGCTTTAGGATGCTCTCAGGTCCTCCCGGCACCATCTACCCTTTTGCCTGGCTGGACTCACTCCCAGGACCTGGTGGCTCCCTATTGCAGGCACTCTAAAAAAACATGTCTAGCCCCGGGTCCAGACAGACTCACAACACTAATGTAGCTTTTCCATTTTCCTGGAAACTTCTATAGCTGCAGCCTGGAAAGCATCCAAAAGTTTCCCCGAACTAAAGATAACAACAACAACAATAAGTTTTTAAACATTTAGAGAGGCGATGGAAGAGAGACCCTAAGGCAAATGTCCCTGTTGATTACTGCTCAGCAAAACAGATTCCGACGGTAGGGACAGAAAAGGGAGGAAGTTTCCAGGTCAATTTAAACATTCACATTGCTTTTTTCAAAGACAGTTTCAAAACAGTCGACCTCCCTGGGGCAATTTAAAAAAAAAAAAAATCTATCCAGAAGGCAAAAGCTTCTCCCTTTCTCTCCTCCCTCAATCTGGAAAGTTTTCTCAGCAGAGGCCAAGCGCATTCCTGAGTTCTGGCTCAGGAAAGGACTTTCCCAACCTTCCAACATTCCCGGCCCTCGCTCACCCTGCTGACCTACCAAGAGCTCTGCTTGCTCCACCCCAAGCAGCTGCATTCCAGCTGTGGAGTTCTTAGTGAACTGCCAGGAGGCCGAGGGCTGCAAGGTAAGTGAGAAATGCGTCTTCTGACAGCTGAGGGCCCGCCGGAAGTCTGGAAACCCGGAAGCCCTGGAGCTGACGCTGGCTCTCATCTACATTTCTGTAACTCCACAGGCAGGGTGGGCTGTTGACTTAGGGAAAACAGGACTCTAGGAGGTCTTACAGAGATTAAAGGCTGTGGCCAGCCTGCTTCTCCCCACCCCCATCCCCTATATGCGCCTGGCCATGCAAAACATGAAATTCAAATATTTCTTCGGGAAGATTCAAAAAAATTGTTCCAGTTATTCATGAGCTCTGGGTTTGTTTGTTTGTTTGTTTGTTGAGATGTATTAGTTATTAGTGTATATGTGTCCGTGGGTGGGTAGGTATGCGTGTGTGAGTATACATGCTGCCAATAGAGGCCAGAGGATGGAGGCATTTCTTAGACAGTTGAGAGCCATGTGATGTGGGGGCTGGATTTGAACTCAGGTCTTCTGGGACTGCGGAACTCTCTCTCCAGTCATCTTGCACGAAGCAAGTCTTTGGGGCTGAGGAGTGTAGCTCCATGGTAGCCTCTCCCAGCAGGCCCGAAGCCCTGGGTTCAATCCTTAACGTAACAGAATGCAAACAGAAACACAAGTCTGTGCAACAAACACAGTAAACAGAACAACCTTAATGTGGAGATTTGCCCCTTCAGGACTCAGTGGTGCAAATTTGGAATTCCGAGTCCGAAAGGCTGAGGCAGCAACCTACAGAGGGAGACCCGGTCTCAAAAACAGCAAGATGGTAGGAGCTGATCTTGCTATATGCTGGAGCCTGTAGGAAGTGAAAGGTTAGCTGAAAGTGAGAAGACCAGGATGGGGCGGAGCTTTGCAGTGATACAGCTGTCACCCACACTCACGGAAATAATCTTTTTTACCCATGCCCTCTACGTAATCCCGATAAATTCATTGCTCTACACACACACACACACACACACACACATACACACACACACACACACACACACACACACACACACACACACACCACACCACACCCTTAAGTTGCCCATGGCTCTGGATTACTCCTAGAAGGTGATAATGACATTGTTACGGGCAGAAAAGGGAGTGTCAGTCTCCTTGTAAATTCCCTGCCCTCCCCAAAATGGTTTCCCTGCCTGTGGATTCGGAGGAGGCAGGGGCCTGGGAGGCTCACTGGAGTCCTTTAAATATGGAGATGTTGGCCAGACAGGGCAGAGCCCAGCAAATGGCTTTTTAGGCAGCTGAGACCCTCAGCTGCTGTCAAAACAACTGTCACCAAGGGCTGGCAGGGCAGGGGGGTGTTTGAGCTCTGATATTATCATCTGGGGCTGCAGGGTGGACCCACAGGCTAATGGAAGTTACTTTTCTACTTGCCTTTAGAATAGTGGCAGTGGCGGGCTGCCTGGCTCCATGCCGGCTGGTGGTTCTGGATTTTGAGACTCTGTGCCTTTTCACTGGGACTGACGGCCACCCAGACACACCGCAACAATGAATAGCCGTGGGGATGATTTGGGAGTCCATCCTCATCTACAGCCCTGCTATCCCGAATGTGCTCCATCTTAGCAGCTAAGCAGGGTTGGGCCTGGACAGGACAAGGATGAGAGACTCCATTCTCCGAAGAGAGGCGCCTCCTGCAGTCTTCCATCAACTCCAGGACCTGAAAGTGAGTGTGAAGACGAGGTGACCTCTGTCCCAGGAGCCAGTCAGGCCAAACAGCTGTATAGTGACGTATGCACCTTCCCGCTGTCGTTCCCACTTCCAAATATGCCCCCCTTGGCTCTCCTCTTGCCCCACCCCACGGGTCTAACCAACCATCTCCTTCCTCTACTGGTCCTTTCAGAATACAGTCTACAGGGTTTCCCATGGGAGCTGTCCTTGCCCTCACCCCTGACAGGATCCCCTGAGCCCTTGAGACCCTAGAAGGAAAGCACCAGGAAATCTTAAAACATTCTCCCTCCAGAAAACAATGGCTTCCGGGGTCTGTGCCAGACACACTCACAACCCCTGAAATAGCCTCATTGTCCTCTTGTGCAATATCCAGGAATTTGGTGAAACTCATCATTTTTCAGGTTACCGACAATGCAAGTTTGGAAAGTGAAACAGGAAGAACACAGGCTGAGAAAGCTTTTATCCAGCCACAGAGTCTCTCTCCAGATGCAAGATAGAGGGTTGGGCTTTTTTTTTTTTTTTCCAGCAGTCCTTTGGTGGGGTTAAAATTAGCGGGCAGCATTTTGGTCACATGGCAGACAACGTAACAAAAGGGAATTGTTCCCCCAGACACTCCTGAACTAACCAACCCCACAGGCCCTCCTGATGCATGGATTTCTGGGACCTGGCTCCCCCTGGTAGAAGAGAGGCCCCACCACAGGCTACCCTCTGGGGTTACTCTTGCTGAGCTGGGTAGAGCACGGTGTCAAGGCTTTTTGGAATCCTGGAGCTTGCCTTGTCTGGGAAGGCACTCTGGGACTCCAAATTGGCTTTTGCAGTTCTTCTCCCAGAAGCCAGCAAATAAGCAAACATCACGAGGACTTTGGAAGGGTGAACACGGTACCCTTTTGCCTTTTGGGACAACTGGCTGTGGCTGTCAGGATGATCATGTGACGTGAACACGCCCAGACTCTCAGTGACAAGGACTTCAGACAGATTCTTTACCCCTGGACCCTGATGACAGGACATATCAGGATCTGCTTGCAGTCTAAAACTGTCCCCAGCAGCTCCGAGTTAAAAATACAGTCTCTGATTCACGCGTAGACAGGAAACATGGCTGCACTCAGTACAGAAACATGTCGGTCAACCTGGGAAAGGAATCACCACCACGAGTACGCTCTTAGCTTGCCAAAGCTTAACAGCTGCAGGAGCCAAAAACCCAGCTGCCTGGGCCGTCTGGGAAAAGGAGGGGTCTGAATCACCTGATTTCTTCCTCAGCTCCAGCCAGAACCATCTTGAGATGTCTCAAGGGCCAATTGCTCCTTAAAATTGTGTGTGATCACTAACCCTTCAATTCTGGATCTGCCAGCAAGGTGAAGCAGATGATTTTTATTGATTATTTATGTGGAAGGGGGTATTCAGGAATGGGAAAATTCCATTGAGATCAAACACATGGCTCTGACCAAAAGACAAACAAACAAAACAGCGAAAACCGGCAAAGGCAATCAGGAGCAGACACCTAAAGAGTCATGCTCAAAGGCATTGCAGGTAAGTCCCACCAAATGGGACCGGTCTAGTCTTTGACCTGTGTGGGCTTCCATGGCAGCGCACATGTAGGAAGAAATACTTAAATTGGCCCCACATTCTGTAGTCATCTTCCCACACTTGAAACCAAAAAGGTCTCTGGCTCTTACCTCCACTTGAAGCCTCATTTATACAGACAGACCTAAGTACAACGCCCCCCCTGTGCCTCAATGCCCAGCCTGCAAAGTCCTCTTTAATGAACATACACCATCCCCATCCCACCCGGGAATGGCCTCAAGGTGTTAGAGGTACATAAAGATCTGAAAGCTGAAACCCTGGGTAAACAGTTCACTGGAATATATTTAGCAGAAAATATTGAAAACCACAGACCAAAATACGTCCCCTTTCTGGGATGTTAACGAAGGTTTATGTCTAGGAAGCCTTCAGGAAATAGTGAGCAAAAAAGAAATACTGCTCACCTCTCCCACCCCAGTGTAAATAAATCACTAACCCTCTTTGGTTTCCATAGGCCTTGGCTGGGGATTTAATTTTTTCCCCCATTAAACAGGCCACCCGGAGAGTTGGCATTACAGACCTGAAAATATACCAGATCTTGAACACACTGCTTTGTTTCTGTACATTGACTCAGGCTGTGTTTCAAACGGCAGCTTGTGCAAGATTAGGGGGAGGGGGGGTGATTATCCGGGCTAGTGCACCCTCACCGAAGTCACCTGAAATTGCAGCATAAATGACAGATCTGTTTCACCTTGACTCACCCAATGTCTTGTCTCTGACAGGAACCTGTCCTCTATCTTTGTTGCCCAAGCTGATGTCATGTTCTAAGGGACTGGATTTGCTAAGGCTGCAACAAAATGCCTCTTCAGAAGGACCCAGATTGCCTGCAGTGTGAGGCGGGGACCTGAGAAACAAGGCAAGGACCGGCAACTACTCTCCCTAAGATGGAGGCAGCATGATGTAAGCGGCTGGCTAAAATATCTGGCATGCTTGCAGTTTTAAGTTGCCAGCTAAATATTATTAAAAAGATAAAATACACGCAAACTGTGCAGAATGTAGGGCTGCTGTGTTTACATCCGGGTTTTGATGACTCAAAGCCTTACACTTGGGCTTGCTGAAAAGCTCTATTAAAAACACAGCTTTCGAAAAGCCTCCGGGGAGCAGAAGGACGCAGGGGTGGGAGAGGAATGGTACCCCCACCCCACCCCCAAAGATGCTGTTCAGCTCTGTGTTGCTGGCAAGCATTTAGGGCCGGGGAAGTCTTAAGGGGTTAACCTCCTTTCAGTTTGCAAGCCAGAGCCGGGAGGGTTAACCTTTTTCCAGAACATTTATTTCACCATCTCACTGACTAGAAGGAGGAGGGGCTGGCGGGCTGGCGGGCGGGCGGGAGGGGGAGCCTGCCGCGTTGAGAGGCTGCGGATCACAAGGCCATTCTGATAGCCTCCTGTCCCCATGGCAACTGCAACGGCATTTATCAGTTCCTTCTGCGCACAGGCACCGCAAATCTGCATTGCACATGGCAGGCTTCCAGCATTTCAAATGAAAGAGCACTTTGAACGGCTGCCAAGTTTGGAAGGAGCAGAACTGTCAGGGCTGCTTAAAGCTGGCAGTTTATACTGGGGAGGTTTTCACTTCCCAGAATCCTCCGGGCTTGGCGAGCTGCCAAGTACTTAGCGGAAGCTAAAAAGTAACTCGCTCCCTCCCCTCCTCTTCCCCCCCCCTCCGCTCGCGCTCCCCCCCCCCCTCCACACCATTCACCGCAGTGCTCTCAAAATTTTCCACATGTCCCGTGTCACCAGTGCGGACTGTACAATGAGAACCAGAACACCGGCTGCCCACGATCGGGCTTTTCTCAATAATGGGGGTTTAGGGTGGGTTCAGACACGGACAGCGGGTTCCCGCTGTACCTGCCATAACCCCATAACCACTGGATGGGAACACATAGTGTGTGTGCCTTTCAACCTTAAAAAAAAAAAAAGCACATTAATAAAAATAAAAAGCAGCTTGAGAAACAGGGACAACCCTAAGTACTGGGTGCGGTAGAGAATAGATGTGGAGGGGGGGCCGCTGGATGGATGGAAGGCTTGCAGCTTCACGGGGTTGGGGGGAGTCTCGCAAACAGAATACAAAATGTCCACATCCAGCTTTTCTAAGCCGTGGGGAAGGGGGTTGTTGCTGAGAGCTGAACTGTTTCTGGAGCTTTCTTGCATCTCTCAGATGTCACGATAAAAGCTCAGAAGCCAGAGATGGGGAGGGAATTGGGAGATGGTTTTTTTTTTCCAATGGAAAGTTTACCAGCTAACTTTGACCATGCACCACCCAAGATCACCCAGAGCACCCGGGCTTCGACTGGCAGAAAGTGGAAACTGGCACAATTTTTACTGTGCTAATTTTTTTTTTCTTTACATGAAAATCTACACTGAGATCAAGGGCTTGGGCTTTATTTCCTGCACAAATAGACCAAAAATTGTCTGCCGCTTAGGCGGTTGGATAGAGTTCAGGAAAACTATGTCTGGCATTAATTCCAAAGTGGAGGTTTTGGTTCAAGTGAGACCCATTAATTTCAGTAAACTGTTTTCACTAGTCCAGACCCTGCTGTGCGAGGACTATTTATTACCTTTTGCTAACCTGATGTCTGCTGAGTTGCAAAGCGAAGGGGGGGGCCCTGGGGTGGAGATATCTCTATCTGGGATCAAATGGGTTTGCACCTTCCCTTAGGGGGTCATGTTTAATCGAGAGTTTTCTATCCCTTGCTCTTCTTTATCAGAACCTTTAAAAAATTCATCTTGCAATGAATTACAGAGAAGCAAATCCGATGGAGAGGAATCTGGTGAGAGCAAACAGCCATCACTTCCCCGGTTCAGAAAGGCTCCTCCCAGCCACAGGGATGCTTTCCTCGCCGCCGCCGGTCCCCTCTTCCAGGATGCAGGTCCAGGGCAAAGCCCTGACATGATTCACCCTGACGATTGGGTCTAAATCCACCAAGACAGTCAATTTTGGCATTCGTTCTCCCTTAGGAATTTTACTAGCCGTCTTAGAAAAGCACATAAATTACTCCTCCCTCCCCCTTTTTTCCATGCCTTCTCCTTCATCCCCCAGCACCCCCCCCCCAGTCCATCTTGATGTCATTTCAAAGAGAAGGATGAAAAGAAAGGATCTGTCAGGCAGTCCAGTTTGTGAGTGTGTCTTGCCAGGTCCCAATGCGAGCGCGCACACACACACACACACACCAGCTGAGAATGTTAATAAGAATTAAAAGCAAGTCAGTACTATGAAAGCATCAAATCTGAGGTTGAAAGAGGAGGGGGACTCGGAGAAAGAGAGGGGGGTGGGGGTGAGAAGGAAAGAGGTGTCGGTAGCCCCATTTGGTCAGCTTGTCAAATGTCAAATGTCAAATTCATTGGTCTTCCCTTTTTAACTACTCCCCCTCTCGCGGCCCCGCCCCAGCAGTCAAGTTTTGTGAGGTTCCCAAGTGTGATTAATCTTTGGCAGAGGCCAGAAACAGGAGTAGGCTTCTTGGCTGCCCGTCCTGATAAACAATCTGTTCTTGGGAAGCGTAGGTGAAGGGGGCTGCGGGAGGTAATCTGCGGGCATGGGGGTGGGGGTAGGAGTGAGAGGAGGCGGGGGACCACCGCGAGGCCCGCCCTCCGGGAGAAATGCAAGTGCCCCTCCTCCCGGACCAGTGGTTTAGGGGTGGGTCAGGTTTCCTGCCCTTAAGAATGTGAGTAGACAGTGGATCCTTTCTTGCTGCCGGTCCCTAGTGCCCAGGGCACGTCACTGGGCCACCGGAGGCTCCAAGGAGGGGAGGAGAGAGAAACCCGTGCGCGCGGCCGCCGTTTCGTTCCATCTGCAAAGCAGTGCTCTAGGCGCTACCACCCCACCCCCCAGCGAGTGTGCGCAGAACCTGCTAGCGAGAAAGGGAAACCGAGGCAGTGTTAGCGAAAGCCTCGAGTTGGGGCGGCCGCTGTAGAGCTTATTTTAAAGCATAACGGGGAAAACCAGACTCTGGGCAAGACAAAAGGAGAGGCTATTTGGCGGGGTCGGAAGTCGCTGGGATCGAAACTCCGGAGGCAAGAAAGCTGGCTCTGGATGTTGCAGCGGGGATATTGTGTGAGCAACCAGGCAGAAACCGGCAGTGTGTAAAAGTGGGAAGGGGGAGAGCGTGGGCGGGAAGGCGAATCAGTGCCTAGAAGTCTGCGCACGGCTGGGAAATGTCACCAAGGACAGCCCAATGGTGCCGAGTAAAAGATGAAGGATAGGTTTTAGGCTACCTTTTGGAAATGTAAAAATAGGAAGAAAGGTGAGAACTCCGGCCTCTTCGCTGAAAAGCAGATCCATTCCTCACTGCTGGCCTTCCAGCCCCAACATACAGGCAGTTCTGGTCTGCCCCATCCAAAAAGCCAGGGCCCGGCTGGCTTTCCTTTGGATTTAATTACATGAAAATGCTGAACAAAAACTTGTAATTACTCCCTTAGCTCCTGCCACTCAGGCCCTGCACACTTCCTGCCTAGTTTTGTTTTCTAAAGAGGGGGTCGTTGCCTCTTTTTCTCCAAACGGGCCAAAACAACAACAAAAAAGGTAAAAACACTGAATCTTTAACAGCTTTGAGTCCTCATGGTCACCCCCCCAACACACACACACACACACACACACACACACAGGCACGAATGCACACAGGAACTGGGGAGGGAGAAATCCTGGCCTCTTTAGGAGAACCCAGAAGGAAAGGCCCAAGTGTGCTATTGTCTTGCTCCAGCTCCTAGGCTGAGAGGCAGTCATGGCTTATTTATCTGTCACACCAACACAGAGGTGCTAGGCTGGTCACCTAGAGGAAACCTGCCAAAGGACAAGGCAGAGAGTGTGGGCTGGGCGTGTAGCACCAGGCCTGGCTTTCCTTTTACCTGGAAGGGTTCAGTGCTGGAAGAGAGATCTAGGTCAGGACTGGCCTCTTTTACAGCCCTCCAGGCCCCAGCACTGCGGGGCAGGATCTCACAGGGAGGAGGCTCTGGAGGAAAAACAGGATTGAAGATGGACGCTTGACAGGTGAGGAACCAAAGCTCCAGAGAATAAACAGACTGCCTCGGAGTCAGGATGCTGCTGCAGGGAGTCCGGAATAGCGCTGCTGCCTCTTATGGCTTTGGGGGCTAACTGCATCAGCAAAGTAGGACACCTAGGAGAAAATGGAAGCGTCTCGGTTCTGGGCTGGGCCCATTCTAGCGTATTTCATCTTCAGATTCCCAGCACCGAGACAGAAAGTGCTAAGAACCAGGCCCCGATCAGTCCACAGCCACCGTGGGAAGTTGAGGCAGAAGGACCACAAGTTCAAAACCCGTCTGGGCTACAGAATGAGTTCAAAGCCAGGCTGGGCAACTTCTCAGGACCCAGCGACAAAACAGAAAAGGGGTTAGAGATGACGCTCGCTTGGAGAGAGAGAGAGCAATGCTTAGCACGCTCCAGGCCCTAGGTTCTATCCTCAGCTAAGGGCAGGAGAGTGCTCTCTACTTAAATCACCGAATAACTGAATGAAGGGCAGGGGGATGATATGCTGAAACCCTCCAGGCCACGAGGCAGCCAAGTTTCAGCACATTTAGGTAAGAACAAAAGGGTGTTGGTTGTTCGATATAACTTCCAGGTCTAGAAAGAGGCCTTTGCCTCAATAAAAATCCACGCTCCTAGCCGGGCAGTGGTGGCTCATGCCTTTAATCCCAGCACTCGGGAGGCAGAGGCAGGTAGATCTCTGTGAGTTCAAGGCCAGCCTGATCTACAGAGCAAGATCCAGGAAAGTTACACAGAGAAACCCTGTCTCGAAAAACAAACAAACAAACAAAAAATCCATGCTCCTTATTTTCTCCCTTCCCCTCTGTGGTTCACTGGGCTCTTCTTCAACGTTTTTCCCTTTTAGTCACTGCTGGGGATCCAACTCAGGGCCTTGCATGTGCTGCTGGGCAAGGCCTCACCACATTCTTTAGTCCCAGATGTGTACATTTTAAAAATGTCTTGAGGGCGACTGGAGAAGCTTCCTCCTCCTTTCGGCGGGGACTAGCACTTCAGATACTCCTCTGTCACCTCTGCCTGGGGCCAGGGCACAGAAAACCAGAGAAGTAAAAGCAAGCTGTTTGGGGATTGCCAGGAAACAGGGGCTACTCAGTTTTGCTCCAAGCTCGATAGTGATTGATTTTTGAACTCCCAAAACAACTGGTGATGATTTATGCCACAACCTTGCAGCCTACTGGGACAGTTGTGGCTTTAACCTGTAAATTCCTGTGGGCAGAGGGCTTTACCTTCTTGTTCAGCGTCTTAGAAGCACCTGGAACCCCTAAAGGGCCAGCAGTCCTTAAGGTAAAAGTGAATGCCGGTTTTACAGCACATGTAGCCTGTTTTGGTTTTTGCCAACTCTGGACCACCTTTGGCCCAGCCTTCCTCACCTGCACAAAAGGCAGGTGAAAGTAACACCTGCCTCACAGGCCTGTGTGAGGCTTGGTGAGCTCATGTCTGGGAATGCACTTTGGAGCCCTTGACAAATGTCGGTTATTGTTAATAATCTCTTACATTGTATTAAACATATTATAATCCGTTGTCATCCACATAGACCCATGAAGCAGGCGAAGGAAGTGGAGTAATTATTTCAGTTTTACTCAGAACCTGAAGTGCAAATGATTTGCTCAAGGTCAGCCAAGTCCAAGGTGAGCGGCATAATATAAATATGTACCCAGTACCCGCCCCTTTTGCTCTCTGTCCTGAGTTACAGGTTGAACTACTTGGCACAGGCAGGTCAAAATATTTGAAGTCCTAGCCCAAGGACCCAAATCGAAGCAAGAAGTGATGGCTTCCCCTGTACCAACCTGGACCCAGGAATGGCAGGTCCTGGGAGGAACTTCCTGCTCTGTGACCACATCTTCTGCCTGCCCTAGCTCTAAGTGCCAGAGGCAATGGGTCTCCAAGGCTGGCTGTGGAAATCCCCTGATTATTGTAGACTGGCGGGAACCTCCCTTTGAGGTCCAGGCTCACAGATGGGATTGGAGGGCTAGGGAAAAGGCAGACCTGTGGTCTTCGCGGCCACCAGCCACCTCGACGACATCCCCACCAACTCCAGGCCTCCCTTCCACTCAAGCTCCCTTGTTGAGGGTTTGAATATTTGTCCTAGCTGAATCAATGAATAGCACCCTTGTCTGGCTCTTCCGCCCCTTTTTCCTCTAGGCCCGTTTCCCTGGACAGCTCATTCCAGGCTTTGGGGGGGCGGGGGCAGTGAAAAACACACCAGCTTTTGCTGAGGGCAGTGCTGGGCTCCCCCCCCCCCGCCGCCCTGGCACGCTGGCAAGAAGAGGATGCCGGGAGGCAGGAACTAGACTCGACTACCCCCACTCCTGCGCCTTTCTTCCCCTCCCTGATCCCCGCCCCTCCAGGAAGAAAACAGCCAGAGACCGGATCGTTCTTTCCGCCACTGTGCCAACCCCAACCACTATGCCCGCCCTCCCCTGCCTTCTCCCTAGTTTCGCTCAGAGTGCCGGCCTTGCCCATGCGCCCGAGGCTGGGCAGGTCTTGGCGGGCGGTGTCGGTTCAGCTCCCCAGGGCTTCTCGGCGAATCACGTTGTTCCTGGGATTTCATGCTCCAGTGGCTCTTGTGTAACCCTATGCCCTGGCCTAACTCAATACTTTTTTTTTTTAATACCAAGATTAATCCTTTAGGGGAAGGCAAATACTTCCGCCACCGATCCGACCAGGGACTAAATGTGTAAATCACCCAGCAGCCTCCAGCCCCCCAAGCCCCTTTGCTGGGGTCTGCCAAGGCTCAGTAACTGGCCGCGCCCCCTGGGGTTCCTGGTGCAAGGCGATCCCAGGCCTCCACAAGGCCAAAAGGAGGGCCCAACCCACACGTTTGTTTTCATCGACTCTTAAGCGGCTCCCGCAGGCCAAAGAACAGGGCCCTGCTTACTGCCCGGCTGAGTGTTACCAAAAAAGGCTTTTCTCTCTGCGGAGCGCTTGGCGGCGCGCGTTGCAGCGGGGTGACGCGAGGTTCAGCCTCGGCCTGGAGAGACAGCAGGCCAAGAGCACCCCTGCCCCCCTTCCCCGCCCCCCCCCCCCCCCGTTCCATTCCGGTTCCAAACTGTGGGGGCTGTTGAGGGCGGGCAGGAGTCGCTGCGATGCGTAGAAGTGCTTAAGATCCTGGCAACCTTCACGCCCCTAACACTGGGCGACGTTGCTC